TATTGGGATGGTTGGGGAGGCTGGGGTGTGGCTCCTATCCACCACTCACCCGCTGTTCTTTCAGTGCTCTGGGTGCAGGTGCTCCTGGCTGGCCTGGTGGTCCCGCTCCTGCTCGGTGCCACCCTGACCTACACATACCACCGCTGCCAGCCTTGCAAGCCCACGGTTCCTAGTAAGTACACGCACGCACTCGCACGCACATTTCTAGGGGCATCGGGTCAGCATGGGTAGCCCAGAGCCCACTCACCCCTGATGCAGAGGGGGGAAACTGAGGGAGAGAGTGCTGGGGGCAGGGGTGGCACAGGAACCCAAGAGGAGCTGGACCAGCACCCAGGTCTAGGAGTCTTGCCTGGTTGCTGATGAGATGCTCTTGTCTCTCAGCAGATGAAGCTGGGTTGGAGGCCCTGACTCCCCTGCAGGTAAGAATATTAGTAATATTCAGGGAAGAGAGTGAGCAAGAACCCAGGCCTCAGCCTTCTGGAGCTGAGAGGCAGGGCTGTATTATAACTCTTGGTCCCCCACACGGGCCACGGTGGCTGGCAGGCACAGAGTAGGCCTAATGAACGCATGTGAATTCCCTGAGTAGTTGGTGAATGAGAGTAGCAAGGCACCTGTCTCTAAGTGGCTTTCAGTCTGGTGGGATCCAGACAGGTAAACAGAAGACAGTTCAGTGGGATGAGTGTCACCATAGGGAGGCCTCCGGCAGGGTTGGGGCCATAGGGGAGGGCAGCCAGGATAGGGTTATTTCAGGCAGAGGAAATAGTTCTTCTGGGCCACCCAGTGAGAGATGAGGGGGGACTTCGGGAGGCAGCCTTGAAGAATGTTTGCTGACTGATCCAGGGAATGGCCACTCCCGGCCAGAGACCCCAGGAAGGGGTGACCCCAGGCTGACCTGGGGCCTCTCTTGGCTTCCAGGCCACCCACCTCTCACCTAGGGACAGCACCCTTCTAGCTCCAGCCAGCAGTATCGAGAAGGTCCGTGCCACGCATTTGGTAGGCAATGGCTGGGCCCTTGGCTCCCCTCAGATCCAGGAGGCGCCCTGCGCGGAGGTGACGTGGTCCTGGGACCAGCTGCGCAGCAGAGCCCTCGGTAAGAGACCTCACTGGCCTTGACCCCATTCTCCTGAGCCTGAGATGAGAAGTAATGGTTTCCTGAGGCGGCACCTGCCCACTTCCCGTCCCAGGCGGACGGGTGCACCCCCCTGGTCCCCCGCTCTGCCCGTGGTCCCGCCTCTGGCCTCCGTTCTTGTTCCCCACCGACTCTCTCTGGCCCGTCCCCAGACCCGCCGCCGTCCATGCCCACGCCTTCGCCAGCGCCCCCTGCGGGCTCCGCGGCAGCCACGCTCCAGCCGGGCCCGCAGCTCTACGACGTGATGGACGCGGTGCCCGCGCGACGCTGGAAGGAGTTCGTGCGCACACTGGGGCTGCGCGAAGCGGAGATCGAGGCCGTGGAGGTGGAGGTCGGCCGCTTCCGCGACCAGCAGTACGAGATGCTCAAGCGCTGGCGTCAGCAACAGCCCGCCGGCTTGGGCGCCGTCTACGCGGCGCTGGAGCGCATGGGGCTGGACGGCTGCGCCGAGGACCTGCGCAGCCGCCTGCAGCGCGGCCCGTGACGCGGGGGCCGGGGGGGGGGGGGGCCCACACCGGGCGCCTCTGGGCTCTGGCGGCCCTTGCAGAAGCCCTAAGTACGGTTACTTATGCGTGTAGACATCTTATGTCACTTAAGCTCCTGGCACGGCCCTGCGTAGCAGCGCCAGCCGCCCTCCCTGCCGCGCGCCCCCTGGGGTTCTGGTTGAGGCCAAGCGGCATCGACGGATATCGGGAGGGGGCAGGAGATGGCTCAGCAGTGTCTCGGCCCGACTTTGGCCGAGGCCTGGGTATTAAATCTGTGAAGAAAAGCTACTGCTTGGTGCTTCCGAGGGGCTGTGGTGTTAAGTGGCCCCGGCTTCGTTTCCTGGGGGGGCGTCGTCGAAAGGCGCGGAAGTCCTAGCGCCCCAGGGTCGGGGACCCACGGTGGAACCCAGTGTGGCCCCTGGCGCCCAGGCCGCCCCCGCGCCCCGCTCCCGCCCGGCCGCGGCCTAGTTACCCGACGGAGAGAGGAAGTCGTGGCGACAGCGCGAGAGAGTGCACGTCAGCCGCGGCGGCTGAGAGAGCTTTAATGGGGGTGCGGGGACGGGGAGGAAGCAGGTGGAGACACAAGCGCAGGGACCCTTGCCTCGCACTCACGCCACCAGCGTCGTGAAAGGGTCTGGGAATCGTGGGACCCGGGGGGAGGGGGCGCGGACTTCACCAGGGGGAGGGGGAGGGGGGAGGCAGAGGTTGGGCCCCCGGAGCGGCAACTCGGTCCCGACGGGCAGGTTGCCGGTTTCATCGTTTCTGGTAAACAAATGACTGAGAGGAAACCCTCGGCGGGGATGGGAAATGCGGGCCGGGTGCAGATCTGGGTCACGACGGGAGGAAAACCCCTTCCCCCGAGCGCGGGGCCTGCCTCCGCCCAGGATGCGCCCGCCGCGTGGGTTCCGGGGTGCGGGGGAGGGGGCTGCGGCCGGGCGCGCGCCCCGCAGGAAAACAAGGTCGCCACCCACGGGGCTGGGGAGCGCTCTGCGCGACCTCCACCGAACATGCAAATATATGTAAATAGGCATGCAAAGAAGCAGCATCTTTTTGCGTCAACAGCTTGCTTGGGCACTTTTCCTGGGCGACGGCGGCGGGCGCGTTCCAGCGGCGCCCCGGGCTGGGCATGCGGGGGCCGGAGCGGGGTCAGGGAGAGGTTCCAGCGCGGGAGGGGAAAGGCAGCGCGGCTCCCAGCCCTTTCGGCCGGAGCCGGGCAGGCCGGGGCGGAGACTGGGGCCCCCAGAGCTCACGAGGCTGCGAGCAGGAGGGCGGCACCTAGTACTTAGCGATGTCCCCCTTCTTCAGGATGATCTGTCGCTGCCAGGGCGCCAGCTTGCTCTCGTCGTAGCCCAGCGTCCGCAGCTTCTCCGACTGCTCTTTCTCTCGCCGCAACTCCTCCTGCTTCTGTCGCTCCTCCTCTTTGCTAGGCATGGGGTGGGGGGCAGAGCCGCGGGCAAGCGTGAGACGGTGGGCCAGGCACCGTAAGGGGCAAGTAAGGCGTTACTGGGGGCAGGGGCTGGGTGGCCAGGGCAATGGGTTCTAGGGGCAGAAGGGCTGGGGGACTGGGGACTGGGGTCGGGTCAGGAGCCACAAGGATAGGGTGGGAACAGGGAGGGGCCTGATTGGGGGTAGACTGGAGTCACATAGGAGCTGGGTGAGGGAGAGGCTGTGGCTGAGTTATTTCTGGCTGGGGTATTACTGGAAACAGGGGTGCTGGGTCAGGAGTGTGGCAGAGGGTGATCGGGGAGTGTCCTGGGGGCAGGACCCAAGTAGGAGGGACCACATTAGTGGGAGGCAGTGGTGGCTAATTAGGGATGGTTATTATAAAATAGGGGCTAGAGGGGCGCCCGGGTGGCTCAGTCGGTTAAGCGTCCGACTTCGGCTCAGGTCATGATCTCGCGGTCCCTGAGTTCGAGCCCCGCGTCGGGCTCTGTGCTGACAGCTCAGAGCCTGGAGCCTGTTTCAGATTCTGTGTCTCCCTCTCTCTCTGACCCTCCCCCGTTCATGCTCTGTCTCTGTCTCAAAAATAAATAAAAACGTTAAAAAAAATAAAAAATAAATAAATAAAATAGGGGCTAGAGCTGTGCTGCTGACAAGGCAGCCACTAAACTCAGGTGGTTACTAAGCATCTGAAGTGTCAGAACTGAGATGCAGGATACGTGTAAAATGCGCACGGCATCACGAAGACTGCTTTTTAAAAGACTGTAACACATCTCGCTAATGACTTTTACACTGCTTATGTATTGAAATAATATTTGGATATTTTGGGCTAAGTAAAATGTAAATGTTAAATTCACCTTTACCTTTTTATTTTTTCAAAGTGCCTACTAGAAAACTTTACACAGTGGCCCGTGTTATATTTCTGTAAGCACTGGGCTAGATTACTGGGCAGAAACCACGCTTTGAGGGACAGAGGTCAAGGTTATTGATACTGAAGTTTGGTTATAACTGAAGGCTAGGTTAGTGGGAGACAAGGGGCTCGGTAATCCAGGCCGAGGTTATCAGAGCATAAGATCTAGACTTTGGGGCAGGGGCTAAGTTGCTGGGGGAGAAGAGTCTGGTGGCATTAGTGGGAGCAGAGAGACTGTGCTACAAACCAGACAAGGGGGTGTGCTCAAGATGGGGCTGGAAGAAGGGGCAAAAGGACTGTGCCTAAGCCAGGCAGGGGCAGCAGGTCGGCCCACACTCACCGCTTCTGCTCCCTAGAGGAAAAAGAGACAGCATTATTTGGTGCCACCACCTCAGGGGCATGATCAAGACACCCTACCAGGCCCTGAAGCTTCCGGTCCCCCGGCTCACCTCTCCTCTTCTAGCTTCTTCCGCAGGAGGTCTCGCCTCCAGGCAGGCATGCTGGCCAGCCGGGCCTCCTCCTCTTCCTCCTGAAACACAAGCACAGAACTTCAGGACCAGCATGCGCTGGGAGGTGGGGTTTGGGGGAGGTGCACCCCCAACCCCGGGGGACCCGCACTAGTCAGGGACAATGGGATACAGACGTCCTTCTACAGAGCAAATAGATGAAGGTGCCTGGCCACAACCCCCTTAGAGGGGGCCTCCTGTGCTCTACCCCCTCATAACTCAGGCCCCCTGTGTTCTAGAGGTGGTGCCAGACAGGAGAGAGCTAAGGTGCAGGAGAGGAGCAGAGAATGAGATTTCCCACTAGGGCAGGCTGATGGATGGCTCCAGGGCCCTGACCTCGACTCTCTGGGCAGACCCATACTTGGGCCCCCACAGATCCAGCCAGCTCGGAGGGGCTCAAGCTGGCCTCCACTGCGAAGGACCTTCTGGCCTATGCACGTCCTGTTCCCAAGTGGAGTAGACACTACCTCTACAACTGTGTGGCTGCATCGACTTGGCAGGGGCGGAGGCGGGCATCCAACACAGGCAGCTTACAGCAAAGAGTTTTATTACGTGGATGTTACACAGGAGAACACGTCACACGGAACACTACACATGTGGCTCCCTTGACCTCAAAGAAGTAGCTGTGAATTCCAGTGCAAAACCAAAGAGAGGAGAGCCACACTGCCCCAGGGGGGACCCACGGTCCCTCACTCAGAGGGGCGGCTTCTTCTACCTGCCTACCATGCAGAGCCGGGGCGAGACTGTAGGCCCAGAGGGGAACACCTGGTTTGCCCTGTGCCCTGCCCACTGCAGCCACTGCCCCACATCTGGTCATAGTGGGCTTCAAAGGCTCTGGCAGCCTGGTCCTGGATACTCCGGGTTTTCCAAGGCCACCCTGCTGGCTTCTGGGTTTTTCCTGTGGGCTTCTGGCCTCCAGAGGGCATCAGACGGGCATCCAAGCCTGGGTTAAGATGCTTGAGGGGGAAACTCTGATTTCTGCTGCTCAGATGTCAAAAAGCTCTGCCTCCTTCTCCTTCCAGAAGGAGAAGCTGCGGTCGATGTAGCGGCAGATGTCCTCGTTGCTGAACTCGCCCATCTCAGACACCAGCTCCAGGGGGTCTCCGACAGGGGCTTCGGAACCAGGAGGGTCCCACGTCGGGGGAGGCGCGGCTGGCGGAGGGGGGCTGGGGGACTGCGGCGCAGGAGCTGGGGCCTCGGGCTGCCCCTCTGGCCAGTCCACCGTTTGACCCGGAGGGACCTTTTCTGCCGGCTCCCCCTCCTCCTCTTCCTCTTCTTTTTTCTCTTCTTGCTCCTTCTCCGCTTCTTCTTCCCCGGCTGGCTCAGCCTCCGGGCTGTCTCCAAAGAACTGGCGCCTGAGGTCCTCGAAGCCGTCGCTCCAGGTTCGTCGGCCAGCCTCCACCTCCTCGAGCACCACGCGGTGGAAGAGGCGGATGAGCTCCCACGGGTGGCTGCCCAGCCGGTCGAACATCTCGTAGCACAGCAGGTGGCGGAACTTGCGCTCCTCGCGGCTCAGGCCCATCTCCAGCAGCTGGAAGTAGCCGAGCATGAAGAGGTCGAGCGTGAGGCTGTCGTAGCGCGGGGGCGCGCCGCCGTCCAGGGGCGGCAGAAAGTGTTCGGGCCAGTACAGGCCGTGAGCCAGGCCCGAGCCACACGAAGGGCGTACCGGCACCTGCCGCAGCAGGCTCCGCCAGTGGCCCAGCAGCTTGCCCACCACCTGCCGCTGCTTCAGCAGGCGCAGCAGCCGCGCATCCGGGCCGTCGCCGGCCGGCGGCTGGAGAGCGTCGGCGGCCTCGGGGCCCGGGCCCGTGCCGGCGGCCACCACGCGGGGCAGCAGTCTGCGCAGGCGCGCCTGGGCGTGGCGCCGGGGGCCGCGGAAGGTCCACTTGCGCCAGTGCTCCAGGAAGAGGTAGACGATGCGCTCCTTGCGCATATCTATGTAGTCCTGGACGCCGCGCAGCTCGGTGGAGAGCGACGGCTGGCGCGCCAGCTGCTGGGGCTCGGGCAGCGCCGCCTGGTGGTCCGGCGCGTCGGGCGGGCCCAGCGCGCCCACGGAGTCCCAGGGGGCCGGCAAGCCGTTGGTGACCGGGGCGCTTGGCTCCCCGGCGCCGGCAGCCACGTAGTCCTCCTCGAGGATGGGCTCTCGGCCCGAGGCGGCGGCGGGAAGCGAGAGCTTGCGGCGCGAGCCGCGCGCGGGCGCCGAGCCCTGGGCGCGTAGCTCGTAGACGGCGCGGAGATGCTGCACGGAGACGCCGCAGTCGAGGATCTCGCGCGCCACGGCCTCGCGACACCAGCTGAGCGAGTGCGAGCGGCCGAGGCAGAGCGGACCCGGCCGCCAGGGCGCGTCGGGCAGCGGTGCCAGCGGCTGGCCGGTGTCGGCGGCCAGCAGCTCGGCCAGGTGCGCGGGCCGGCCGCCCAGCGCGGCCAGCAGCGTGGCCATGCTCTTGAGCAGCGTGGAGATCTTGCTGCACCAGGCAGGCAGACTGGCTGCGCGGCCTTGCATGCGGCGCGGATCGACGGTGAAGCGCGGCGCGGAAAGGGCGGCCGAAATCGGCAGCAGCTGCTCCAACTCCAGCTCCAGCTGCTCCAGGCGCGCCTCCAGCTTCTGCGCCTTGTGCAACACCTGCAGGTTCTCGATTTGCTGCTCGATGCGGAGGATGTCGGCTTCGGTCATGAGCTCGCCGAAGGGCCCGAGGATGGCGTTGTGCGCGCTGGAGTACCTCCAGCCCTCGCGGGGGTAGCAGCATGAGCTGGCGGACGTCAGCTAAGGCGGGGAAGACAAGAGAGGGGAGGGAGGCGCGTCTCCCTCTGGCCCGGCTCCCGCAGCGGCCGCCGGGGGGCGCCCTTTGCATGTCCTGGGTGGTGTAATGGCTCCGCGGGGCTCTGTTGGCAGGGATGGGCCACGCCCGGCCGGCGGGTGATTACACTGGGGCGAGACTTCGGCCCAGGCCGCTACTCCGGGCGCTGGGCAGTGTCCACTTTGGTCGCTGGCGGGGTCGTTGGGCGCTGTTGCAGAGACTGAGCGGGCAGAGGGAGTCTCCACACCTGGCTTGGTTGCTCATTACACCACCGAAGGAACATGCAAAAGGCGTTGAAGCTGCGACGCCAGGCTGCCCTTTCCCACCCCATCTCAGGGCTGCTGTTTGGAGGCCACATCCCAGAGGGACCTCGCGCATACTGATGACCTCTTGTCAGCTGTCCCCGCAGCCCGAGCCCTCCCTGTGCACGCTGTCAGTGTTTTACTGCTGAACCAGCTTGAAGCCTCAGCTCTCACCCCTTGTCCCCGGCACCAGGGATGATAATCAATTTTATGAGCTAGGTGTGCCAGGAACTTCTGAGAGTTTCATTCATTCCTCACTTTAGTGCTGGGCTTCTGCAGCCTGGGCTGGGGGGGGGGGGCGTCCTCACATCCTCCCGGTTCATCTTGACCCACTACAATCAATCCGTTCCCTCACAGACACACAGGATGATGCTAATTCCCTCACTTAACCCCTCTCCCAGGCTCCCTACTGCTGCAGGAGAAAGTCCATTTTCTTCAAGGCCAGGACTTGGTGATCTGCCCCCACTGATCTCTCCAGCTCCGCCCCTGTACTGACAGGACAGTCACTGAGCCTGCTCTTTGCCCCACTCTGTTCCCAGCCCACCTCTTGCTCATCTTCCAAGTCCACCTTGGACTTCACTTCCTCCTTCATAACACTGGCCCCACCCCAAATAGGACGGTGGGTGCAGGGCAGCCCCAGGCCTCTGCATGCCCCTGCATGCCCCATCCCAGTGAGGGCAGTGTTGTTAACAGCCCCGTCCCTGGCTTCCCTGCTCACTCAGGCTCTCATGTTACCTTGTTTTGTATTCTTGGGGGCACTTATCTCTCTACTAAGATGCTGTGTTTGCTTGTTGGTTGACCCCCTCCCGCCCCACTCCCCAAAGCCACCTTTGAAAAGGCCTTGAGATATTCATCGCGAATCCCTAGAGGCTACAACAGCGCACAGAACACAGCACCCAGGAAACACGTGCTAAGCCGGTCAGTGGCAAACCACCCTGCCAGCCAAAGACGGTCAATCATCTGACAGATAAGAAAACTGAGGCTGGATGAGGCTCGGTCTCGAAGGCTGGAAAGTGGCGGTGCAGGAAAGGGCCCAGGCCAGTCTGACTGCAGCCCACTGCAGCCCAGACTGCAGTCTGACTGTTGGCCACGCAGAGGGCGGTCCCTGGACCAGCAGGTCAGTCTCACCAGGAGCTTCCCAGACACGCAGAGTCTCAGCCCCACCCACAGCTCCTGAATCAGATTCGGCATTTTTACAAGATCCCGGGCGACGTGAAGCACATTCGCGTTTGATGAGCTTTGCCCGTCTCACGGAAGGACAGTCCCCAGGGCAGGGGAGGTCCTCCAACCCTGCTTCCCGCCCCTCAAGGACAAAGGGAGCCGCCTGAGGTGGAAAGGCCCCCGCAGGCCGGCGGCGATGTGGGAGATGGGCCCGGGCGCAGAAGCCCCGCCCCACCCACCTTCCGTCTCTGCTCCTCCTCCTCCTGCATCTTCAGCTGCAGCTTCCGCACCATCACCTGGCGCTTCCACTCGGGGATGGGCCGGCCCTGCTCATCGTGCGTGGGGATGAGCGCCTCCACGTCGAGCTGCACGCCTGGCGCCGGGGTGGCGGGCGGCGCCGGCGCCACGCTGCCGTTGAGCAGTGGCTGGGGCCCCACGGCCGGCGGGGTGGGGCTGCGGGCCCGGGACAGCGCGGGCGACGCCTGCGGCAGCGGCGCTTCGGGCTGCGGGGAGAAGCGGCGAGGCTGAGTGACCGGCAGGCACGGGGGGGGGGGGGGGGGCGGGGCGGGGTACCTGTCGAGCCGCCTACCTGGGAGATCGGCTGCCCGCTGCCCGAGAACACCGTGGTCAGCCCCTTGCTCTGCGGCGTCGGCTTCAGACTCTTGCCGGCCTTGATCTCCGCCAGTAGCTCCGAGTTGTCACCCGTCGGGGACATCATGTTGAAAGACTTGGTGCCTGCACGGAGGCAGGAGAGGAGGTGCTGGCCAAGCCGGGAGGGGGGGGGTGGGGGGGTGCGAGGTCTGCATCCCCGCCGCCCCTAGCCTGCCCCTCTGCCTCCCCCTCCCCAAGTCGGGAGGGGCCGGGCCCCAGATGACAGCTCTCCAGTCCCAGGCCCTGGGGGCGGCTCTTGGGTACCCCAGAGGCGGGCTCCCCGCTGACAGCTCACAGAGCCCCACCATCTTCCCGGCCCTACTCACGGGGCATGGGGGCCCTGCCTGGAGGCCCCTGGGAGTTCATGCTGGCTTTTGGGCCGGCCCTGGGGACTCCAGCGAATGTCTCCACCCAGGACACTGACTGACCAGCTCTAAGACACTACCTGTCTAAGGCCAGCCACCCGACCTTTGTCCTGGGTTCCCTGGCTCTGCCAGCCAGGGTGGAGTCTCCCTCCAGCCCTCTCTGCATCAGCAAAGCTCAGTGACCCTTGGACTGAGTTGCCTGGGGCCTCCGTGGCTATATGGGTTCAGGACCCTGGATACCAGAACCAAGCCAGTCCCCTCCCCACCTCCCACACAGACAGACAGACAGACATGGACGCAGACACACTGGTTGCATGCCCGTCGTGTAGCAAAGCGCTGCTCAGCTCTGGGGGACCTAGGAAAGCGGAGCCTTTACTAAGGATACGGGGTGAAATCGCCCAGGAAGAAGGGCCAGGTGAAAAGCATGCAAATAGGCAGGTGCACAGAGTTTGCATTTTCTGACAAGGCCCACGGAGGCGGCTGGGGTTTGGGAAGGGCTGTCTTTAGAGACCCAGGGAGGGGTGAGAGCTGGGTGAGGGGAACAAAACAGGCCAACAGCTCTTGGGTTCCCCAGGTTGGGGATCCCTGAGCGAGCAGCAGGAGGGGTAAAAGGGAAGGCTGCCAGGCAGGCACTGGCAACAGGCTCATTTATTTGGGCAAAAACTGAAAGCCATGGGTAGAATTTGTGGGTATGTGTGTGGGTGTGGTGGAGGTAGGAAGGTAGCTGTGGGGCCAGTGGCCCCACCTGTAGTGTGGAGGACCCCTGGCCTGCCGGCCCCTGGCCCTGCCCCCGCCTTTTTTTTTTTTTAAAGCCCCAGATCCTTGGCCTTGCTTCCCCTGAGCGTGCCTTGTTCCCCGCCCCGCACCTCAGCCAGGAGCCCCGCACGCAGCTACTCACTCTTCCTGTGTCTCAGGACTCTCACTTCTAGGGATTGAGAGGAGAGAAGTGACAGCAAAGTTAGGACAAGGAGGAGGCCGGGGTGAGGCTAGGACAGTGGGGGGGGGTGGATAGAGAAGGGAGGGCAGGAAGAGGGGAGGGAGACATGCAGAGGAGGGGAGACAGGAGAGGAGGAATTTTCCAGCTCATCTGACCCTGGCTCAGGCTGCTCTGGGGCTCCACAAGGGTGGTCCACCCAGTTCCGGGCTTTACTGCTGTCCCTGAGGACTGGGTAGGGCTGCCACTGGCCCTGGTTCCCCCAGCAAGGGCCTCAAACTTGGCATTGGGTTGGGATAGGGCACCCAGCCCAGGCTCTGCTGAGAAGGGGTTTCTGGAGAAGCCCAAAGTCTATTTTTCTTCCGTTCCTAGCATCAGCCTTGCTCCAGAAAGAAAAAGCTAACCCCAGAGCTAGGGCCCTTTCTGGAGGCTCAGCTGGTGGTGGACAGGCTACGATGGGCCCTGGTCAGCAGGGGCTGAGGCTCCATAGGGATCTGAAGGGAACCCAGGCTGGCCCTACCCTGGACCCGGTTATACCCTTGCACTCCTAGTGAGGGACATGAAGCTTTGGATGTCACTAAACATGGTCCCTGCACTGAGTGGCTGGGTGAAGAAGGCAGGCGTGTGCGCGCGCGCGCGTGCACACACACGCACACACACACACACACACGCACACACACGAGGCACCACCTCCTGGGCCTTGCAGGAGCCCTGGCATGCGAGAGACTGCCCCACCTCACAGAAGAGAAGCCAGGAATCTTGTTCACCAGCCTAGACCTTAAAAGGATGCCCATGGGGGTCATCAGGAGGGAAAGGGCAGAGCATGATGGGTCACTGGCCTCGTCCCCATAGCCAGGTGGTAGCTGGCCTGGGGCCTCTGGGGTATCTGGCCAGGAAGAGCCCCTGAAGCATCTGAGAAAAGCTAGCTAGCTTGGAGGAACAAGAGATAGGGGTGAGGAGCAGAAGAGAAGCTCAGGATAGAGAAGGGGCAGGACGAAGGTTGGCCCCTGCCTCTTTGAATCCAGTTCTACTTAGAGCTGCCCAGTTAGCACCAGCCCATTAGAAACACCAGCCGCCAGAGCTGGGAGGCCTTCCCTGCTGCATGGGACGTGGGCCCAGAGAGGTCACTGAGGTGCGCTGAGATCACACTGAGGCAACCCAGAGCCTCCTCTTAGGGTTAGGTCCTCACTGGGGTAGGGGCTTGCCGCAGGAAGAACGAGTCGGAAAAGAGGGAGCACCGCGGGGGCAGCAGCAGCTGGGGAACGAGCGATGTCTAGGCTTCCCTCCCCTTCAGGGCTGGCACCGCCCCCCACCCCTCAACCCGCCCCTACTCACTGCCAGTGGACGAGGAGGAGCGACGCTGCCCGCAGCCAGGGCCAGCGCCCTCGAAGGGCAGGGGTGGAGCCGGCGGCGGCGAGCTATGGGCCTCCGGCAGGGGCGGCGGCGGCGGCGGGGGCGGCGGGGGCAGCTCCCTGGACGCCTTGGGGTCCGCGGCGCAGCCGTTATGCACGTGGTTCCCGGGGAGCAGCGCCGCCTGCGGGGGAGCGGAGGGGCTGGCGAGTGAGAAGCGGGCGGCCGGGCCGGGTCCCGGGCGGCCGGCGGGCGCGGGCTGGCAGGCACGCACCTCCTCGCTGTGCGCCATGCCCGGGCGTGTGGCCAGCGGCTCCCCGGGACAGCGGCCCAGCTGGCGGTAGTAGTCCCCCGTGCTGGGCTGCTTGCTGAAAGCGCGGGGCTTGCGGCTGGAGTCCTGCCTCCGCAGCCCGTTGTGGCCGTCGCGGGAGCTCAGCTGCGGGAAGAAGACAGCGGCGGAGGGGCTTCAGGCGCTGGTCCCCGGGGCCTCCCACGCCCCGCCCCCCCCAGCTCTTCACTTTCCCGGGGCTCATGGCCAGCGGCCGTCGAGGGGTGCAGGCAGCCGGGTTCCCAGGCCCTCCGGTCCTCCGAGCGGGGATGGGGCGAGGGTCCCGGGGAAGGGCAGGCTCGGTCGCCCCCCCCAGGGAGGGGTTCTGGGCGCAGGCCAAGGGCCACAAGGGCCCCCAGTGAGGCTAGAAGGGGCGGGACCAGGGGCGGGTTGACCCAGCCCAGTCGCCAGGGGGAGCCGGAGAAGGGGCAGCTCGCAGTTTAAGCCAGCGCGAAGGCCTCTGCCTCACCCCACGCCTGGCTACCCGGCCGTCCCGCGCGCCCCCAAGGCTCCGCCGAACCCTCTCTTTCAGGGACCCCGACCCCGAGGGAGCCCTCTCAGAGCCCTTGTCCTGTTAGGCTCCTGGTTGCCCAAGGCTCTAAGCCTCGCGGTCCCGGGGCTGCTCCTACCTGCGCCAGTGCCGGTGGCCCCCGCTGTGCACCTGGCGGCGGGGGCGGCATGGACCCGACACCTGCGCCACCTGATCCTTCCTCTCGGGTTACAGCCCAGCCCTTGCCCGCCCGCGCCCAAGAGCGCCTATGAGCTCTGTCGCCCTGACATCACCCAGGGCCAGCCAATCCCGCGCCGACCCACTCCCAGCAAGGGGAGATGCCACGGGGGCTCCACCTGCGTCGCCACGACCGGCCGCAGCGCCTCGCCTGCCCTGTAAGCCAGATGTGGCCCCGCCCCTGCTCCGCTCTCCCTCCGCTAGGTGTCGAGCACCCCAGCCCTCACCCCCCTCCTCCAACTTGTCCCCTCCATACCCCGTGGACGGACTGCGGGAGCCACCCGAGCAGTGGAGCCCCGGGTGTTTGGTACCCCCGGGTTCCGGGTCACGCCCCCGCCCTTCCCCTCCCGCATCTGGAAACCATCGACATCCGCGTAAGCGACACCGACACCCGCGCCTAAGCCTCGGGTTTCAGGGGCGGCAAGGCGGGCTCGGATGACAGCGCGGTGGCCCGCCCCATCGCGGCTGCCCCCTGCTAAGCCTAGCCCAGGGAAAAGGACAGGGGGCGGCGGGGCCAAAGGCCGAGTCCCTGTGCGGGGGCTGTCCCCGGATCCCCCCCCCCCCCGCCCCCCGCCCGTGCGTCCCCGCGGTGGCCCCGGACCTCCAAGCCCCACCCGAACCGGCTCTCGTTGCAGGAAACCCGACACCACAGGATTTGTTTTCTGGGCCAGCCCGCCCCTCGGCGCCCCCTGCAGCCCCAAGGCGCGGATGCCGCGACCCTGCTCCCGCTGCGGTCAAGCAACGGCCAGGCCCAGGGGGCGGAGGCGGGGGCGCCAGGCGCAGTGGACACACAAAGGGCCCTTTGTGGAGCTGCCTGTCGCCTGCGGCCCTGCACGCACACAGCGGGTAGGGGCACGGGACCTCAAGATCCTGGGGCTCAGGGGAGTGGAGGGGGCACAGGCTGTGCTTTGGCCACAGCCCGCACGACGGGCCAGGAAAGTCCGCCCGCCCTTGGCCCTCTGCAGTCCTCTCCTGGGCCCTCTCCACCTCACGGAGATGAAAGGGGAACCCGACTGACAGCCTGGCCGCAGATGGCATGAGGGGAGGGTGGAGTCGCTGTGGAAATTGCCCCTCCCCTCCCCCACCCAGTGGCCTTGTGACCTGGGACACCTGTGGGCAAATTGGTTACTCAGCTTGGCTCTGGAGTGGTTTGCCTTGGGCTTGAGGGAGAGAACTACAGGTCAGGGCTCCCACAGGACGCTCCGGAGCCTAGACCCCATACTCAGCCACCTGTGGCCTCAGGCTGCCCTCCATGTCCCAGACCAGCGGGCTCTGCCCTGTTGGCCAGCACCCCGGGGGCCCCCTGGGGGGCTCCCCGACTAGCATTCTCAGCCACCGAGACTAGCCCTCTGGCTCCAGAGCCTCAGCCAGGACCCCAGAGGCCCTGACATCCTGGGCGCCTCACACTCAATGTGCCCACACTGGACACAGCCCCCCTCCCCACAGGCTGGCTTCTCCCCAACACCTCGCATCTCAGGACTGCCCCTTCCATCAGCCTGGGCACTCAAGCCTCAGACTGGGTAGCCAACCTCAGCTTTACCCTCCCTCAGCCCCCACTGAGTGCAGAGTCCCTCTCTCCCTTCCTCCACCCTCCTCCTGGCCCTCACCTTCCCTGCCCCCTCATCTCCCACCTGGAAGACAGCCCCTTGGGAGCCATTCCCCACCTGAGCCTGGGGCTCTGGGCACAGGTAGGTCTGCGGAGGGGGCAGTCTCTGCCAATTCCGTGACCGCCCCACCACGCTGTGCAAGAGGTCGGGGAGGACCCAGCTCCCTGAAGAGGCCCGGCTGTCTGATTATATGTTCCTTCACCCATCACCAGTTCCCGAGAGGGTAGTGGCTTCGTCTGACTCATCTCCCTGTCCCCAGTGCCCAGCCCTGAGACCCCCACGGGGCTAGCCAGGAGTTTATACTCTTGAATAGGCCACTGGCCTGGGGCCCCCCCTGCCCTGTGTCCATGAGCCAGGCAGTCTCTTGGCCTCAGCCCAGCGCTGGGAGGCAAGCAGCTGGGAGAAGGTTCACTACCTCCTTCTTGAAGGCCTCCTTCTCCACATGGCGGAGTTTGCTCTTGGTCTGCACGTAGATGTCCGCGGCATGTGGCTCCACAGGGGGCTTGGGAGCCGGGTAGCCTGGTGGGGGTGGGGGCAGTCGGGTGCTTGGGGGTGGGGGCGGCGGAGGGAAGCTGGGTGGTGGTGGTGGTGGTGTGGTTCTCCCCATCTTGCCCTGGGGTCGGCCCAGCTCCGGGCTCAGCATGTCCATGTAGCTTTGTATGTCTGCAGCTCTGGAGCTGGCAAGGCCTGGGGAGGGAGGGAAGGCAGGGTGTGGGAGTTTGCAGAGTCCCCAAGACTGAGACCCCCTTCCACCCAGAAGCAACGCGCCAAGGGGTGAGGTGGGCTTAGGGATACGGCTTCTACGGCTCACTGGGAGCCCCAGCAGCGCAGGGCCCAACCGGAGGGTGAAGGCGTAGCTCCTGAGCTCAGACCTGACAGGGCCGGACGGCAGGAGTCCGCATGGCCATGCCCCAAACTGCAGGGCCGCCCCACCATCTCTGCGGCCACCACCTGGCAGCAGGAAGCAGGTATCACAGGTGGATGGCCACCTAGGCTCAGCGTGTGGTCAGCGCGTGAATACTCGCGTGCCCGCCTCTGCCTAACATTTGCACGCGTTGGTGTGTGCAGGTGTGCAAGCATCTGCGCATTTCTTTGTGTTTACAAATGTGTTTGCATCGGTCTGTGGACGTGGGGTGTGCGTGTGTTAACGTGCACACGTGCCCGGATATGGGGACGGAGGGTTGTGTGTCTGTGCTGTAGTGTAGGTGCGTGCGTGCATCTGCACGGTGTGTGTGTGCGCGTCCCTGTGTGCTGCGCAGACACGTGTGCCCTCTTGAGGGCGCACAGGTGTGTGTCACGTCTGGGGAACATCTGTGTGTGTGAGCGAGTGAGTCATCTGCAGGGGGCGCGTGGGGTTTGTCCCAGGGAGAGTACATGTGGGTGCACAGGTGTGCTTGCGAGCAGCACACACCAGGACAAGTGTCACCGGCCTCTTACCAGGACCAGCAGCCCTTCCTGGTGACCTGGGCAGCCTCCGGCGTCAGCGGTGGGCAGAGTGGGCCTGGGGCTGGCCCTCAGGGCCCGGTGGTCTGTCCCGGTCTGCGCCCCCTCCTCCCTCCTCCCTCCTCCCGGCCTGGCCCGCTCACCACGTGGGGGGCGCCGGCCCTTGATGCTGGAGTGGCTGGAGGAGCAGGAGTCGTAGTTGGAGAGGGTGCTGGTGGGTGAGCTGAGGTCAAAGTTCAGCGGCTGGACCGACACGGTGGTATCGGGTGAAGACATGCCCGAGTCGGGCTGTTTGGTCTCCAGCTCAGCAGATGGATCCCGCGACAGCACGCGGTGCTCCACACTCTGAACAGGAGGGAAGGCAATGAGGTCGACAACGAAGACTGGTGCGCTCGGGCCAGGGTCGTGCTCCTGCATGTCCTTGCTGTGTGGCCCGGGCCGAGCCGCTTCCCTTTCTGGGCTCCCACCCCATAATGAGAATGTCTGTCGGGTTCTTCCCAGGCTCAGATTCAAGCCCAGCCCCCTCGCAGCAGGACCCGGGGTTCTTGGGAAACTCCCACCCCAGCCCCTCTTTGCTCAAGGGGGTGGAGAGATGGCCGGAAGAGGGGGCCCTGGTCTGGACCCCAAGGGCAAGACTGCCATGGCACCAGCCAGAGGGGTGGGCTCCAGTGTATCTGCGGGGAGGGGCTCAGGAGCTGCAGCTGATGGGAACACCTGGGGCAGGTGGGTTAGGGGAGGAGGGTGGGGCCCCACAACTTGCAGGGAAGACTGATTCCCCATTACCCGGCCAGCAGCCCTGGTCTCTCCCTGCCCTACTGGGGCAAATCCCAATACCAGCCCAGCCTGTCTCCTGATGGGGCCCTTGGAGAAAGGGCCGGGCCTGGGGTGGCCCGGCTGAGTCTGGAGGGCAGCCGGGCTCAGGGCTCAGGCCACAGGCCTGCTGTCCCCACCACTGTCTATGCCCCGCCCATGGGCCTGACCCTCCCATGGGACGGGAGCGGGCTGGGGTGGGGGCTCGCTTACATTGCCCATGCTGGCCTTGCTGCTGGCAAGCCCGCTGGCTGGCTCCGTCTGCTGCCTCCTGCCCAGGCCTGCTCCTCCCTGCCCCACGCCCCCTCCCCTGCCTGAGAAGTGTCACAGGCCCCCTGGGAGCGGGAGGCAAGCCTCGCACCAGGTAACAGCTCAGCAGCCCTGCTCATTGGCCCTGTAATTAGGGGCTCTGTGGGAGTGTTTGCCTTTTCTGGGCCAGCATTCTGCGTGGCTTGGATCTGTCTCTGCTGCAGCTGGGCCTGTCTGGGTGAGGGGGCCGAGGGGCCCACAGCCCACCCAGTTCAGTGGGGCCGGGCCGGGCCCTGCTGCCTCTTCCATGAGCCAAGGGGAAGCATAGGGGCTGGGCTTCTGGTAGGGGGAAGATAAAAATGCTCTTTTCTTGGCCATCAGCAGTGGGCAGTGGGGGTGCCCAGTCCTGACCCCACGGATAGCAGAGGTTAAGGGCCCAGGCTCTGTAGCCCGGAACGCTGGCTTCAACTGTCACCTCTCCCACCTACTAGCCAAGTGACTTCGGGCAAGTCACTTATCCTTCCTGTCGGTGGGGATAACAGTATCTCCTGCCCCATTAAGGTAGGAGGAAGATTTTAACAGTTAGTGAAGGGCCAGGGTATGGTAGCCAGTACATGCTACACAATGTCAGCTGTTAGCATGAATTTACTGTGGAGGCTGAGATTATGCTAGAAAGTGCTGGCAGGCTCCGTGCCAGAGTGAGAATTCAAGGGATGGTGTTTATTGCTTATTTATTGCTCACTTAGAGACAGAAGGGCTGGGGCTTTGTGCCTCCTCCCACCCCACCCTCCAAACAGAATCGTACCCTCTCTCAGTGGGAAAGAGCCACCTGTGGTGCAGAAATGCCCCTCACAGCATCCACCCCTGTTTGTATACCCTGGTGACAGACCGTTACGCTCTCTGAGCGGCCCTTTTGGGGGGACATTCTTCCTTGGGTCCAGCTGCAGTTTCCGACCGCTGGGCCTAGCTGTGCTCTGGAGTACCCAGCACCAGGGTGCCCCTGTGTGCTTGCAGACAGGGCAGACGGTGCTGTGGGCAAAAGGCCATCCCACCTTCTCCCCTCCAGACCTCATTTCCTAGTCCCTCTTCTGGCCAGGCTGCCCCCTGGAGCTGAAAGGCACCTGGGAGGCCCACCCTCTGTCTTCCCTCCTGTCCCAAAGGCATTACACCAGATGAGGCAGTGCCCTGAACTTGGAACCAACCACACCTGAGCTCAAGTCCCAGTAGGTTACTTCCCAGCTGCACAACCATAATAAAATAATTTAAACAGAGTAACAGAAGTTTTGTTATGAAGCAGCCATGAAGTGAGCAAACATACACTGTCGTGGTCGAGAGCAGTGGCTCCAGGCCATGCCTCTCAGACTCTACCACTTAACAGCTGTGTGACCTTGGGTGAGATGGGGACATTAACACCACCCACCTTAGAGGTGGTGGAGAGTTAAATGAGCTACTACTTGTGGGCTGTGGGCAGGTGAATGGACTTGACCATTCCCATTGGTATGTAAGTGTCTTGCGATTTCTCCAAGCCTTCCTTCTTACCAGGAGGACGCTGGTCCTCTTCCCCTGGACCCTTTTCCTTCACCCTGTCCCTCCTCAATGGTCAGTGGTTCTGGGCTGGGAAGGGTAATGGTCTAGGACACTTCCTCATTGTGTGACCTCGGACAAGGGACAAGGGGCTTCATGTCTGCGAACCTCAGCTTCCTCCACGGTAAAGGGGTAACAACACCTACCTCTGGGGGCAGGGAGAGGCGGGGTGGGGGACGAGATTAAGCAGGGGGCAGCGCCAAGGTCGTACCAGGTTCTCCACGGTGCGCAGGTAGCGGGTGCAGTGGCTGTGGCCATTATAGTCCGAGAGGTCGGCCGCCGTGTATCCGTCACGGTCGCGGACGTCCAGCTCCGCGCCGTTCACTACCAGGATCTGGCAGCACTGCGGGGGTCGAGTACTGAGGACCCCGGTCGCCAGCCCGGACCCCCCGCCCCCCCTCACCGCCCCGCGCCGGGGCAGGGTTGTGCTGAGAGCTCGGCGCCAGCAGAGGGCGCCCGTCCCACCCCCGTCCGCTCCGGCCCCGTCCCCACCTCCAGCTCCCCGTTTTCAGCGGCGTCGTGCAGAGGGGTCCCGCCCCACAGGTCGGCCGTGATCTCGCCGCCGTGCAGCAGGAGCCAGCTGAGCACTTTGGCGTGGCCGCGGCTGGCCGCGAAGTGCATGGCCGTGGCGCCGTCATTGTCCTGCTCCGAGAGGCTCACGTCGGTGCAGCTCACCTGGGCGGGAGGGGGCGGGGGAAAGACGGGCGGGGGCTGGGCGCCGGGCCCCTCCAGGCCCCGCCCCCGTCGGTGCCGGCGGCTGGGCGTGCAGACCCCGCCCTTCCCCGGGCCCCGCCCCGCCCCGCCCCGGAGCTCACCAGCCACACGATGACCGGGCAGTGGCCCATCTGCGCCGCGGCATGCAGCGGGGTCATGCCGTCTTGGGCTCTCACGTGCGGGTCCGCGCCGCACTCCTGCACCAGGTACTGCGTCACCTCCAGGTGGCCCTCCTGGCACGCCAGGTACAGGGGCGTGGCACCGTTCTTGGTTTGCGCATTCACTCCCCTGTGGAGACACAGCACCCACCTCGGGCTCTCAGCGCCCACCTGCCTCCAGAGCTTCTTAACGCCCCTCGCCCTCTTTTGGGGAGCTCTGGAGGGCCGGGGGCGTGGGTTGGAGGAGGTTTAGTTACCGGGTCGCGCTGTACCTGACTCCCTCTGGACTCGGTCCTGTGCCAGCCTCCCTCAGGGGGGCCCCCTCTGGCCTGGCCACTCCCCTCCAGCAGCCTCCCTGCTTCCGTGTACATCTGACCGAGTTAGTCCCTGTCCTCAGTAAATAGCTCAACCTCTTCACCAAGGTCTACAAGGATGTGGTGAGCTGGCCTCTTCTTACCTTTTCAGCCACACTGAACCACTGTCACCGTGAGCCCCCAAGTCCCCAAACCTTCGGTCTTACCTTTATGCCTTTGATCAGGTCCCTCTCTATCTGGAATGCACTTCCTTCCTCCTCCCTAGGACTCAGTCCAGATCCCTCCTCAGTGAGGCCTGCCCTGATTTCCCCAGGCAGAGCCTGCCTTTCCTACCTCTGTGCCCTGTACGGCCCTGGGCTCACTCCACGGGCTGCCTATCATGCTTGATTGAACGTAACTGATTTTGGCCTCTGCCTCCCCTGGAAGACTTAATTCCCAGAGGGCAGAGTAGTAGGGTTGCCAGGTAAAACACAAGATGCCCTGTTAATTCTGAGTTGCGAAACAAGAAATCATCTTCTAGCATAAGTATGTCCCAAACAAAGCATGGGGCATACTTATACTAACACATTATTTGCCATGTATCTAAAGTTAAACTGGATATCCTGTTGTTAATCTGGCAACTGTACAGGAGGCCACCATTCACCAAGCACCTCTGGTGTGCTATATATTGGTGGGCGGGCTGGACTTCAAGCTGTATGACAAAGCTGTCATCATCAAGACAGTATGGGACCGGCACAAGAACAGACACGCAGATCAATGGAACAGAATAGAGAACCCAGAAATGGACCCACAGACGTATGGCCAACTAATCTTTGACAAAGGAGGAAAGACTATTCAATGGAATAAAGAGTCTCTTCAGCAAGGAAGAGGGAGAGCCTGACAGCTACATGCAGAAGAATGAACCTGGACCACCTTCTTACACCATACACAAAAATAAACTCAAAATGGATGAAGGACCTAAATGTACGACAGGAAGCCATCAAAATCCTCGAGGAGACAGCAGGTCAACCTCTTTGACCTTGGCCGCAGCAACTTCTTACTCAACACGATATTGGTGGGCAGGTTCTCATCGAATGCCCCAGCTTAGGTCCTATTGTCATTCCCGTTTTGCAGAGGGGCAATTGAGGCTCAGGGGCTTTGACTTGCCAAAGGTCACATAACTGGTAAATGGCATTGGAGCGTATGTTTGTGATGCAGAGCCTGGTGCATGCAGTAGGTACACGGGGAGTGAAGAGGCCGCTCCCTGTGCTCACTCCTGGGCTTCCCTGAGGCTCAGCTTGCGGGTGTCATTGCTCCTCGTGCCCTTTCCCCCAGCTGCTGAAGAAGAGTCCTAACCGGGGAACTGGGAGTCAACCCCATGAGGTGGAGTGCTGCTGGGAAACAGGGAAGCTGGAGTCGGGGTGTGGACAGCCCAGAGCACAGTTACCACAGTTGGGCACTAGGTGGAGCCACAACCCAGGACCAGACACAGGAGCTGTGTGCCCACCGCCCTCCCCAGCAAGTCTCAGAAGCTCCCTAGGGGCTGAGCCCCCCTGTGCTGGGTCAGCCCTCTGGGCCCCAGGAAGTGCAGTTCTTACCTGACTTCACATCTTCCCGCCCATCTGCCTCCCCAATCTATCTGCTGGCGACATCAGTCACACACTCCGCCAGTGTCTGTCCACGCCCTCCCTCCCTCATCCAAGTGCTCGCCCAGCTGTCCGTCAACATGGGCAGCAGGCCACCCAGTCCTCTTCTCTCTGCCCTCTCACCCACCCTGTCATGACATGACTGGGTCCCTTTCCCAGCTGACTTCTCCCTGTCCCTAAAACCCTGGTCCCTGTCCACTTCCCGGACCCCTGACCCCAGGCCACCTGCAGCCCCACACTGGGCGCCTCCCTGCTCTCTCCTCACTCCTGACACGGGCACCTCCTCCCTAGACACAGAGCTGCCATTTTCTAGGGCTGATGCGGAGTGTGGCACTTCACACATTTGGGGTGGGACAGAGACCATGCCTGGCTGCCCTCCGTGACCCAACCCGTGCCAGGGCAACGGTGCTCACGAGCCGACAGGGCACACGGTGACAGAGACTCACCCACACCCCTCTCCCCAGGAACAGTCTGGCTTGCGGCCACCAGCCTCCACGCCCCAGTGCCATCGTCACCCCCCACACATGCATTCACATACTGATGTGACAGTAACAGCCTGTTTAATATTTCATGACCGACACTCAGTGGCCTGAATTATTCACCCCGTAACCAAGGCACAGTGAGTGCTGGGGTCCTGGGGACCAGAGGCTGAGGGGGCCACCACCCAGGACCCACTGAGGCCTCTCTGGGGAGGTCTGAGGCAATGGCGACACCATGGGGCGCCAGATACACCAGGAGCCCTGCCCTCCCAGCACCCCCTGCTTGGCAGGTGTCCACCATCCAGGGGTGGCCAGCCAGCCTGGGAAGGTCTGAGAAGGTCTGAGAAGCTGGCACAGGGCAGGACCTGAGCAGGAGGGGGCAGTCCTGCGCACAACCTCCTGCCAGGCCAGTGGCTGACACTCCCCGCTGGAGTCCCTGGGCCAGAGTAAACACTCAATAAACGTTCCTGCCTACCAGCCTTCCAATTAGCATTTCAGCCTCTCCCGTCCTGGAGCCACAGCCTCCAGCCCAGGAGGCCCCAGCACAATGAGGCAGATATGCTGATGGGCGAGGGTGAGGACGAGGGCGGGGAAAGGGGGTCCCTGGCCTTGTCACCTTCTACTTTGGCCTGGAGGCAAGAAGGGCGGGGGCACCCTCATGCTCACTGGGGGAAGTCAGAAAAATATGGAGGAGCACAAGGAGCAAACTTAATTAATTTCAGTGGAATATATCATAGTAGCGACGATAATCGGTACCAGTGAAAGCAGGTCTGTTTCAGGCACCGTGATGAGCACAGAGCTTTCTCACCACGTCCTCTCAGCGACGGATGGGGGAGGTGCTGGCTTTGTTCCCATTTTCCAGATACTGCGCAAAGAAGCCTAGGACCGCTCGATGAGAGACAGGCAGAGAAAGACCTGGGCACAAGAGGGACTTAGGGGGACGCCTGGGTGGCTCAGTCGATTAAGCGTGTGACTTCGGCCCCCCCGTCAGGCACGGAGCCTGATTGGGATTCTCTCTCTCCCCCTCTCTCTGCCCCTCCCCCACTCACACTGTCTCTTTTTCAAAATAAATAAATAAACTTTAAAAAATAAAAAAAAAAAAAAAAGAGGAACTGGGGTATGAACCCCCCCAAGCTGTGTCAGCGTCTTGCCTCTTGTCTCTTTGATCTCAAAGCTGTCTGCAGAGGGGCAGTAATCGCCCAGGAAACATGCTTGGAGACCCCTCAGCACAGGCCTGTCACCTGGCATGAGCCTGAAACCGTTGTTATATTTTGGGATCCCTCCTCCCTGTACCTCTGTGGGGACACGGCTGGGCTGGGGTGTCCGGGCTCAGCCCAGCACAGGTCAGGCCAGGCATTGTTTCTGTTGTGGAGGGTCACCCAGAGGACAGGGCTAGGGTCTTGCGGGGGTACTTCTGGCCTCAGGATCCCACCTGCTCTAACCCATCGGGTTCTAGCCAAAGTGACACGAAGGGTAACCATTCCAGTCCCGGCCCCTGCCCTTGGCCCTGGCCTCCAGCCACCACCCTGACTCTGTAGCTCACTGGGTAGGACCCTAGTGGGTTATTAAGCTCCTGAGCCTCAGTTTCCAAATACGGCAAATGGGCATCATAATTGTCCGGCATCTCCTTGCCTCTTATGAGGGAATGGAAGAGGAAGATTTGGAAGGTTGCACATTTCCTTGGAGGGAAGGCGGCTCTTTGCCTCCTGGTGTGGCAGCCGTATCCTGACCAGCCAACCCCCTCCCCCACCCACTGGGTCTCAACTGTCACTCCCTGTGACCAACCCCAGGGGTTTCCCCATGCTCCTCTGACTTGGCCATTCCCTAGCACGTGCCCCTCCTCCCTCTCCGGAACACCTGCTCCTCCTGGCTTCCTGTACCAGCAGCCGACTCTCACGCCAAGCCTCCTAAGTCTTCTTTGCTGGGCCCTGGCCTTCACCTGACCTCCAAATGTGGGGATACCCCAAGGCCTCCTTTATGAACACAGTCTCCCCACCGGTAAGGTCATCCACTTCCCAGGGTCAAAGGCCACCTGCACCCCCATGCTGCTCCTCTCTCTAGCTTGGACCTGGAGTCTCTATCTGGCCTTCACCTCCGCCCACCGGTCCTTGTGTGCATTGCCCAGGCCTCTGGAACTTTACGTGCCTAGAGCAGATCTCTTGCCTTTCTCCCTCAAACCCTCCCCGACCTGCCAACCCCATTTTGGCAAAGGACACCACACTACCCTCCCTTGAGCCCAAGCTCTAGGAGTCTTTGGAGACCCCCAACCCTTGACCTCTTTATACGCCTGAAACTCCCTAGCAACAATCACACGAACCATATTTTTCTCTCTCTTTGGAAAAAAGAGGACACGAGTGAACTGCGACAACACAGAAAACGTGGAATGCTTGCTGGAAATCTCCGACCAGGACCGGTGCCGGCTTGCTGTTGCCACTGCTGTGGGCAGCAAGGAGCGACCCGCCCACAGAACCAGATTCAGGTCAAGGAACAGCATTTCTGGTGGCCAACAATTTCTGCTCCAAGGGAGGTCGGGAAGGAGCTGATCCTATGAGGATCAGGGGTAAGGCCGCCTTGGATAAAATCATGGATCCTTTGGTGGCCCTATGTCTCTTAGCCTCCACTCACGCCTCCTGGCTCATTTGAAAAGATCCCAAATTAGGCTTGATGCAGGTAAGAAATGCAGTGATGGTTTCAGGGAGGTCCTAGGACAGC